AGTTACCTATTTTATATAGGACAGTATATGTAAGATAAAAGGCTTGGGGAACTTAAAAAAAAAAAACTTTTTAGTAGGGAAATACAAAAATATGTACAGTAGTAGAGAGAATAGTATAATAATCTCAGGTGGCCATTCCTCAGCTTCAGCAGTATTCAGAGTTTTGCTAGTCTTGTTTCATGTATCCCATAGTTTTAAAGATTTTTTTTTTTTTTTTTTTGGCGGTACGCGGGCCTCTCACTGCTGTGGCCTCTCCTGTTGTGGAGCACAGGCTCCGGATGTGCAGGCTCAGTGGCCATGGCTCACGGGCCCAGCCACTCCATGGCATGTGGGATCTTCCCGGACCGGGGCACAAACCCGTGTCCCCTGCATCGGCAGACGGACTCTCAACCACTGCGCCACCAGGGAAGCCCTAAAGATTTTTAAAGCATATCCCCACATCAGTTTTAACTATGTATACTTCAGTGTGCACCACTAACAGAGAAGGACTTTTTTTTAAAACCACAATACTGTTATCTCATATAGCAAAATTAATACTTCCTTAATATAAAATATCCAGTTCATCTTCAGATTTCTTTCACTTGTCTCAAAACTGTCTTTTTGTAATTGGTGTGTTCAAATTGGCTCCAGACAAGATCCACACATTGTATTTGATTGAAATGTCTCTTGAATCGTTTTTTTATCTGGAACAATCCTTTAAATTGTGTTTTTCCTCATACTGTATAAGAAGCTGGATCATTTGGCCTACAGAAGTTTTCAGCATTCTGTATTTGGCTCTTTTCTTCCTTTTGGCATCATGTAGTATTCCACTTTCCCCATATTTCTGATAAACTGATATTTAGACAAAGAGAGATGATTAGCTTCAGATTTGTTTTTTCTTCCCTCTTTTCTTGCATATTTCTTTTTTCAGCATGAGACTTTTTATGTGGGACTTTATATTTTCTTTTGCATAATATTAGAAGAAGCACAGAAGAACTTAGTTGTCTAACTTCCAGTGATGTTAAGAACGATCAAGAAGTTCAGGTGTTGTCAGCCTTATCTGTCCATCATCTTTAAACTTTCAAGGTTTTAGCATCCATGGTTATCTGTTGCCGAAATCCATTATCTCTCGAAGATAGCAGATTGGTAACTTTTCTAATTTGATCATTCCTTCTGCATTTATTAGCTTTTAGAGAACTTCTAAAAGAAGCAGTCAGTATTGACTTAGTTAATAAGAGAGCATACTTCTTATTTCAGTTTTAGAGCCAGTTGCTTATTAGAATCTCTTTTTCTGCATTTGAGTTTCTCTACCTATGGGAAACAGAATTCAAAGTTTTGAAAACTATAATTCAGGTCATATTGATCATTTGACCATATCTTATTGCTTATACATTAGGAATACTTTAATTACCCGTTTTTTTTGTTTTTGTTTTTTTTTTTTTTAACATTTTAGACATTTTGATTTCCCAAACTAGAGAATGATTATCCTTTAGGAAATTTCACATGGATAAAGATCATCTTTTTGACAATGATCAACGTTTCAGTGATTTAAGAACACATACAAAACAATATATGAATGAATACAAATAATCACACTCTCTTTGAAAAGTGACATCACAGTTATGTAAGTGAAATCTTATTTGCAGGGTGAACACAGCACCATGGTTTATGTTTTGATACATAATTATTTATAGAAATAGTATACTAATGTAGTTTCTGTATGGTAAATGTTATACCTGTGTATTAACTCGGCATTTATGTGACAATATAAATTGGCTAAACAGAGCCCTGAAGCAACTATTTACACAGAAACTTACTATTACATATTATGTCTTTAGCCCTGCAGTTAAAAATTTACTAAAGCTTTATGGTAACATTATACGAGATTTTGAGGAAAACTCCTGTAACCATAATACAGTGATTTTTGTTACCATGAGTTTTTGCTGTGCTGTTGTCCATGTGTAAATATGGTAGGTTGCTCAGATTTAATCATTTTCTATTGATTGGACATTTAAATGATTTCTACTCTTATATCTAGTTTTATGAATAGTGTTACAAAGAACATCTCAATTCTTCAGGTCGTTATTTAGTGGGAATTACTTTCTTAGGATAAATTTCTAAAAATGGGGTTACCGGATCTAAAGGATGTTTGACTTCTGGTATTTGTCAAAGTTGTTTTCAGATTCACTGTGTGTTTTGAGGATGTTTAGCACCATGGGACTTCTTAGGGAACATTTCTAAGGATGTCTGGTGTCTTTTTTTTTTGTTTTTTTGGCTTTTTTTGTTTTTCTTTTTAATACTGTCTTACAGTTTGGAAAAATCCTTAAAATATGTCAACCCATTTTTTTTTTTAACAACTGTTACCTTCTTTTTAAAATTACTTTTATTAAGTAGCAGCATTAGAAGTGAGGATCTTGAAGTATTTCTGCCTTCTTGCATTGCCAACTTGTTAGTATTTACAACTTTAATTTTTTATTTTTTAATATTAAAGTATAGTTGATTTACAGTATTGTGCTAATTTCTGCTGTACAGCAAAGTGACACAGTTATATACATATATACATTCTTTTTTATATTCTTTTCCATTATGGTTTATCCTAGGAGATTGGATATAGTCTGTGTCCTATGCAGTAGGACCATGTTGTTTATCCATCTAAATGTAATAGTTTTCATCTGCTAACCCCAAACTTTCAGTCCATCCCTCTCCCTCCCCCCTCCCCCTTGGCAACCACAAGTCTGTTCTCTGTGTCTGTGAGTCTGTTTCTGTTTTGTAGATAGGTTCATTTGTGCAATATTTTAGATTCCACACATAAGTGATATCATATGGTATTTGTCTTTCTCTTTCTGACTTACTTCACTTAGTATGATAATCTCTAGTTGTATCCAAGTTGCTGCAAATGGCATTATTTCATTCTTTTTTTATGGCTGAGTAGTAGTCCATTGTATATATGTACCACATCTTATTTGTTCACCTGTTGATGGACATTTAGGTTGTTTCCATGTCTTGGCTATTGTGAATAGTGCTGTATAGCTTTAATTTGAATCATGAGGTTATGCAAAGGATTTGTGGCTTGTTTACATGCTTGAATTTATCTGTATTCACTGAAAGTCTTATTTTTTTAATTCCCAACCATTATCTACTCCAAAATACAAATTTCTTGCCACACTCTAAATCCCTAAGAGTGAATCTTTCTATAATGGCCACAGTTCCTACAATCTTGCTTTAATAATAGGTCAGGAATTGCTAAAACCCCATTTCTTCCCTCTCTGTATTTTTAAAAGAATTCTAAAGGAATCAATATTGTAGTCAAAGGTAGTTTGGCAGTATGTATTGATTTTATTTCCTTTTCCCTTTTGTTCAGCATTTCTGCCTCCAGGAATCCATGTTGTAGAAATACTGCCAAGTAAGCAGAAAACAGTATATAGAAGGGTGTACAATTTCAGTGATACCTTAACACTGAGAAACAGAAACAATTTAAACATCTACCAAAAGGGAATTTGTTAAATCAACTGTGGTACATTCATATAATGAAATAATCTGTTATTACCAAAAATAAGGTAGATATGTGTTGACAGTGAAAGATTGAAAAAGCAAATTGTGAATACATATTGTACATTCTCATTTTTTTTAAAAAAACAACTGTTAGATGTATTTATGGATAGACAAATTTAGAGGGGGATACATGGCATCTTAACATGGGTGTATCAGGTTTGGATGAAGATGTGATCTTATGTACTTCTGTTTTAAAGTTTGTACAATGAGCATGTATTAAGTTTGGAATTAAGAAACACATTTTTTTAAAAAGATTAAGCAAGTAAAATTTTAACATAACAGCATAGATAATAGGTGAGTACTGGTTTTCTAAATATTCAGAACATTTTGGAGACTCTTCTTTTGTAATCTCCTTCAGAACCACTTGACCTCAGTTTGTGCCTCCTCTCTCTACTGATTTTAGCACACTGGATCCCAAGCAGCAGTCACTTAGAGCAAAGCTGAGATTTTGTGCAGGGGATGAGTGGAGGGGGGCAGTATATCAGGAAGTAGTTGACAGTAGAAATTTGACCAATTAGATTGTAACTGCATTAAGAAGCCTTAAACCATGAAGAGTGCAAGTAGTACTAAATTCTAAGGGAAGGTTTTGAATAAGAGGTAGCATAAGGGTTATGAAAAAATCATCTCAAAGGGTGACGTTGGTAAGAATAAAGGCACAGAAATGAGTCATGTTGTGTGTGTGCAAGGGAGAAATTAATTTCAGTGTGAATTGCCCTCAGAAGTAGGTTCACTACCACATTGATCAGTAGGAATTATCAGGCTGGGGCTCAGGAGGATTGATATAAGTGAAGAATTTGGGAAAGTGATGAATGTAAAATGCTAGGCCAGGGAATTTATAAGTCCACCACAGCGGGTGAGTTGTTACTCTCAGTTGTATCAGTGGTTGGTCAGGTCATCATCATTTGGCCATTATCAGGCCAGAACTGCTGATCTTACACTACCATAGGCTGCTAGTTACATTTTTTTCATAAGCAAACTTTGGTTCATTGTGAGGTTTTCTGTTCCTTAGGTTTTCTGAGATTTCCAAGGCTTTGTTATATCTTGACACACTAACACGTACATGAAGCTTTGACGTTGAAATGTATACTTCACATTCAAATTGGGGTCCATATGGATTCAGTATGTCCTTAGTCTTGTTTAAATTATTTCTACCACTTTTCTCCATCCTGTGCATAGTGTCCCCAGTGCCACTGAGTATATTAAGTAATGTTTAATCTCTACTAATTTTTTTTAATGATAGGAAAACTGTATCTGAACTTGAAGGGGGGACATTTATTGTACTTAATTAAAAGTTTGTTTTAATGACGCTGATTCTAGATAGGATATATCATATCCACAGGGTGTCTTTGTTTTAGACATTTTAAAGACATTTTATTTGATAGCCAATAAAATAAGTGCTTATAATTTTAAATAGATTGAAAGGAAAATAATCAATGCAATTCTCTTTGATGCAACTTTTTTCCCTCCAGACCAGAATCTGTAGAAGCTAGCCCTGTGGTAGTTGAGAAATCCAACAGTTATCCCCACCAGTTATATACCAGCAGCTCGCATCATTCACACAGTTACATTGGTCTGCCCTATGCGGTAAGTGTCACACGTTTCTCTGGAAGGGTATGTTTTATATCTATATAAATCTATATATATTTTATATATCTAGAGGTTGAAAGTTGATGTGTGTGGTGTTGTGCCTAAAACTGAATATTTTAAAAGCAGACTGGTTTTATACTATCTAAACAATTAGGTATGTAATTTGTAGTTTAGTTTTTTCATTGATCTAATTATATTTATTCAAGGGATTAAAATTCTATAAGAGGAATTCCCTAGAAGTTTTTATATTATTATTATTTTGCTTTTTTATGCTATTAATAGTTTAGTATTATAATTCTTTACCTTCTCTATAAAAAGACTGTAGATAGAATTGTACTATCTACTGTTGATTCTAAATTATATAGTAATTATATAGTTACCATTTATTTAGCACTTATATGTCAGGCTCTGTGCTAAGCATTTTTGCATATATTATCTAATTTAATCTTCAAAAACAACCTAATAAGATAGGTATAATTTTCATCCCCATTTCATAGCTGAGAAAATGAAAGCTTGTCTAAGCTAACTTACTCAGTGTTGCCAAAACTTTAAAAATCCCTATTGTATACTTTATAGTGATAATATGTCTCTTGTAATTTTTTTTGTTATTCTTTAGCCTCCAGTTTCCTGAGTTGTTTTTTTTTTTAACCACTGTTCTCACACCTTGCATTGTGAAGGTGACCAAGGTTCTGTATCTGGTTTCACCAAGTCATTATTTTAAAGGTATTAAGGAAGAAGTAGGCCAATTTCATCTCTCTCACATATTTAAATTAAGGATTGAATTTTATTTAAGTTGCTTAGTTTATATATTTTTATTGAAATTACATTGTGATGTATTTGTGATTAATTACCCAGGACCATAATTATGGTGCTCGTCCTCCTCCAACACCTCCGGCTTCCCCTCCTCCATCAGTTCATATTAGCAAAAATGAAGTAGGCATATTTACCACTCCTAATTTTGATGAAACTTCCAGTGCTACTACAATCAGCACATCTGAGGATGGAAGTTATGGTACTGATGTAACCAGGTGCATATGTGGTTTTACACATGATGATGGATACATGATCTGTTGTGACAAATGCAGGTAAAATGTTTCATGCCATTTGCTTATTTTTCTAGAATGCTGCTAACCTTTGTGATTGTTAATGTTGGAAAAAATAAAGTGACTTTTGAAGGAATTGATAAATGCATTTTTTAAGTGATACTTTTGCTACTGTCAGTGCACTGTTTTGCTCCTAGGAAATGCCCCTATGGGAAAAAAGCTATCCTAGAGTTTTTCTTAGAAATCCTTGTTGTTGATTGAGTAATAGGCAGTCAGTTCTGAACTTTATTCATACAGAATCACATCTCTCTTTTTACTCATTTGGTAGTAATACAACTACATAAAGTAGACAAGACAGAAATGAGAGGAGAATTGAGTCCTGTGTATTTCCTTTGGAATTATTTGTGCTGTATTGTCAACTGTGATTTTCCAGTTTGGGGGAATTATACATTTTGACTGATGTTTGTTTGACCTGACTCTCTCACCTCCTTTTGACTTGAACCTTGCAGCACTCTGGAGTCTCCTTGAACCAGAACCACAGTCTCCCCTCCCCCAACCCTGGTTCAACCACCAAGAAAGGCCTCCTCCCCTAGAGAAGGTGTGATTGGGAGAGAAAGTGGGGTTTTGTTTTCTTTCTTTCTTTTTTTTTTTTTTTTTTTTCTGGTGGGAGGGAGTTGGGGAGGATGGAGAGGGAACAGTAGGATTTCAACCTGAAAGTTACTGAGTCCATCCCCTGCATAGGCTGGGAAGCAGAGAGTATTTAAGCAATGTACTGTAGAGGATAAGAAAGTTTGATAGTTTACAGAATGTCCTGGATCTGGTCTTAAGGCATAGCTTTATCATTTTATTTGAAATAGTACCCATATTTGAATGTGAGTGTAAAAATGCATTGTTGAGCCACATAGAAATTACTATGCATTGTTTGTAATCTTGCTCCCATCTATTAAGTTAGGTGATTAGGAGTGGGATGTTATTGATATAAACAGGCAGTTAGGTTATATATGAAAAAGTTGATTTACCTTTGCCAAAAAGGGGGAAAATTAGTCTTAAGTGGAATGTGAAATTTGATGGGGTTTTTTGTTTGTTTGTTTGTTTGTTTTTGCGGTACATGGGCCTCTCACTGTTGTGGCCTCTCCCGTTGCGGAGCACAGGCTCCGGACGCGCAGGCCCAGCGGCCATGGTTCACGGTCCCAGCCGCTCCGCGGCATGTGGGATCTTCCCGGACCAGGGCATGAACCCGCGTCCCCTGCATCGGGAGGCGGACTCTCAACCACTGCGCCACCAGGGAAGCCCATTGATGTTATTTTTATGGGAAGTTGTAATATTAATGCTTTGAGTTAATTTTCATAATAAAAATACATTGTGATGCTTTTTAAAATTTAAAAATAAACTTATGGTACATACTATTACCACAAGCAATCACCTCAGTGAGCTTATTCAGGAGGTGAATTTAAAAACTAAGAAAATAACTTCTCTGATAACTTGTTTTCCTCATTATTTTTTAATTAGCTACTTATTAGCAAATCTGAATTCATATTTTAACCAATCATATAAAATAGCTTTCTCATTGCTGATTTTGTCTTATGTGATAAATTACATACCATTGGACAATTTATTTTAATGCATAATCTAAAGTGTTTTTGTTTTGGTTAATTACAATGATCTATATATAATATAGAATTATATCTATTAGAAAAGAGTGAAGTAGTCCTTAGGACTTATACCTATCAACAAATTCTTGAGGGACCAGTTCACGTAGTTTGGATTATTCAAGGTGTTTGCTTTTTAGCAACTGCTCTATTTGTTATGAATTTATTTTTTGTTATTCTGCTTTTCTACTGCTTAACCTGTAGTATACTACAAGGCTTAATCTTTTTTCCTCTATTCTTGTTTTCATTGACTCTATATATTTTATGTACCTACTGCCCATACTCATCTCTTTCAAGTTTGACATCTAGAGCTCTGATTATTTATTCATTTTCTAGTTTTATTTCTTCTGTGGTCTGCATGACATTATTACTTAGCCCCCAAATTTAACCTAATTTGTTATTCTGACTCTTCATGTCAGGTGTTCTGCTTTTCTTTTGAACTTTTTCCTCTACATCTTTGATACATAGTCCATTACCTTTCACATTCTACCAGTTCTCGTCCCAACATCCTCAGTTAAGAAGTAAAGAGCAAGATCATAGCAGTTAACTCAGTAGCTGTATATTAAAAGTAGCTTATTATTATATAAGGAATAATTAAGACTATTTTTAGAAACAGGCATATATATCAACTTTAGACCAATTAAAGTCTTGGCAATAAAATGTAAAATAATAGCATTGAGAAATTTGCCTCAAGTTGGTCCATGTATCACATTAAAAATAGAGTTCATAATAGGTTTAGTCTCTATCTTCATGAAATGACTCTTGGATTCTTTAACTTCATCTTCTCTGCCATCATTCTAGTTCTTTCCATTGTTCTTTAACTTAGATCTGGAATGTTGGAAAAGCCTCTTAGTTGATTTTTATGCATCCAGTTTCTTAACTTCTTTGAATTAACACTGTATACCATCAAAGCAACCTCTAGTTGTTACCTGTTGCCAATTAGAGGAATGCTCCGCAAATCCTGACATTCCAGATTGTATGTAATCTGACTGCATTTTACTAATTCAGTTTTATCCCCCTCTGTTTCTCAAAATGAACATTCTTCTTCAGATATATTAACTGCCTTCTGGCTGTTGCTCCTGGTATCTGTCTACTTGAGAAAATGTTGCTATAATGAGGTCTTTTCTTCCTAATTTCCCAAATGAGGTTCTCTTCAAGTCTCCGTTATTCTCCAGGATTCTTTTCCCATTAATTCCAGCCATTGTGGACATCTCCAGTTTGTGATTTCTAATTATATTTGTAATGTATACCTTTTACATTGTAAAATTATATTTGCTTTAGAAATTTACATATATAATATCCTATATTTGTCCTCTTATTTTTGCATCTCAAAGTTTTATCTTCCTGAGGACATATTTCTATGAATTCTTCATATTACCTTTTACACTGCTAAACTCAAAGTAGACACTTATTAACTGATAGTTAAATGGAATATCAAATCTTAATTTAAGGATGATTTTAATAATATTTTATATGTTCTGCTTTTCTTTTTTTTTTCCTTTTTAAAGTGTTTGGCAACATATTGACTGCATGGGGATTGACAGGCAGCATATTCCTGATACATATCTTTGTGAACGTTGTCAGCCTAGGTAAGTTGTACATACAGTAAAATTGCCAGTCAATTTATTAGAAATTAATGTATGAATTCTAGATTAAACAATTAATTGACACTGTATTTCATCATATCTAAGATGGAAGAAGTTTCCTTTTTATGGTTTGGTTTATTTTTTGGGTGTTTTTCTTTTTCCATTCTGACATCTCTAAAATCAAGAACAATCTTTCCATTGATAACATGTCATGGTTTATTTTCTAGGGTTTTTAATGATGCATGAAATAATAGTGCATTTTTTAAGTGATGACATCTTTTTTTCAGTGGACTGCAAATTATGTTAAAAAGTTACTAGAAGGACATTTCGTTAGTTACAGAATTTTGCAGGGCTTTTACTGTCATTCTGCCTGTTGGCAGTAATGTGTTTTCTTCCCATTTCTTTTCTGTGCTTTTTAAAAAAAATCTTTTTTAATGGACATTTCAAACCTATGTAAAAGTAATAGTGTAATGAACCTGCATGTTTCCACCACCCAGCTTCAACAATTGTCAATAATCTTTTTTCATTTACATTGCTGTGTCTTTTTCTCCTTCACATATTGTTTTAATGCAAATCCCAAATATATTATTTCATTCATATGTATCCTTATGTATTTCAGTATGTATGTATTTGTGTATGTGTATTTCAGTATGTATCTATAAAAGAATTTTTTAACAAAAATCTGTAACCACAAAACGATTATTATATTGATACATGCAACAAAATCTATTACATCCAGCCATTCTTAAAGTATTGATTGGTTGCTATACATCTCTTTTAAGTCTCTAGTAATCTAAAGCTACACCCCTTACCCCACCAACCCTAGTCTCCTTTGCAGTGTGTTTCTTTAAGGGACTGAATTGTTTATTTATCCTGGTGAGTTCGCCAGTTGCATTATCATGATTTAACAGATTTCTCTCTATAGATATTTCTGTAAATAGGTGTGTGATTAGATTTAGGTCCCTTTTTTTTTGGGGGGGGGGTTAGACTTTCATACACTGTTCTATCAGGTGACACATCTTATAATATATGAATGGGACCCATTGATGGTTATTTTTAAGATCCATTAATTTATTAGGGGTTGCAAATTAGTGACATGTTAATTCTGTTGCTTATCACTTATTAGCTGGACTATTTCTGTAGAAAACTTCCCCATATTAACTGTTCAGTTCTCTTAAGGTATATTTCACTGAGAAAAGGCAGGATAAATGCTTGTTGATTTGTAGCCTTTATCAGTTTTTAGAATAGTGAAAAGAATTTTAAGTGTCATTATGAAGTCAGGGATTTAAACATATTGGATATCAGTCTGTTGCAGTTATTCCTTTCTTTTTAAATATTTATTTGGTTGCATAGGGTCTTAGTTACAGCAGGCGGGCTCCTTAGTTGTGGCACGTGGGCTCCTTAGTTGTGGCATGCAGGCTGCTTAGTTGTGGCTCACGGGCTTGTTAGTTGCAGCTCGCTAGCTCCTTAGTTGTGGCTTGTCAGCTCCTTACTTGTGGCATGCAAACTCTTAGTTGCAGCGTGCATGTGGGACCTAGTTCCCTGACCAGGAATCGAACCTGGGCCCCCTGCATTGGGAGCGTGGAGTCTTATCCACTGTACCACCAGGGAAGTCCCTATTATCTTTTTTTTTTTTTTGGCTGTGTTGGGTCTTCGTTGCTGTGTGCGGGCTTTCTCTAGCTGCGGTGAGCGGGGCCTACTCTTCGTTGTAGTGCGCAGGCTTCTCATTTGCAGTGGCTTCTCTTGTTGCAGTGCACGGGCTCTAGGCACACAGGCTTCAGTAGTTGCAGCACACAGGCTCAGTAGTTGCAGCATGCGGGCCCTAGAGCACATGGACTTCAGTAGTTGCTGTGTGTGGGCTCAGTGGTTGCTGTGCGTGGGCTCAGTAGTTGTAGCGCGCAGGCTCAGTAGTTGTGGCTCACGGGCTTAGTTGCTCTATGGCATGTGGGATCTTCCCAGACCAGGGATCGAACCCGTGTCCCCTGCATTGGCAGGCAGATTCTTAACCACTGTGCCTCCAGGGAGGTCCCCCTATTATCCTTATTTATGTTGAAATTTTGTCCCATTTTTGGTCAATGGGAACCACTTTGAGTTGGTCCTTTTGACAGTACCCTAGTAGTACTTGCTAGCTTTGTGCAATCTAATACGACAGGATGTCTCGGGCTTATCTGATACTTCTGTGCCCCACGCTCAGAATTGGTTTTCAAGACCAGAATCTGAGAGCTAGTAATGCTCCTTCCTCCGGAACTACTCATCGTTGCTAGGTCTTTTTAGTAGACGAACCTAGTCTACTAGAAGTTTTGTCTGTTTATTTTTAAGATAAAATACATGAGTTTATACAGATAATTGCAATTTAAATTTAGGAAGACAGTTGACCTTTGAACAACATTGTTTGAACTGTGCATGTCCACTTATGCATGGAATTTTTTCAATAGTAAATACTACAGAACTACACACTCTGCATTTCGGCACCCCAGCCCTCACGTTGTTCAGAGGTCAACTGTACAAGGTTTTCATTTAACTGTTTCTGTATTCCATCTGTGTCTCTTTTTATCCTAGTTCTCAACAACACATACAGTAGTGTAATTAGTAGTAGTGTAATTAGTAGTGTATCATGTAATTTGCTCAACTGCTTAATCCCATAGAAGAATGTAACAGTCTCAGAGTAACTACCAACAATAGCACCTGTAACAATATGATTATGTAAAACACTTTAGAACTTTTTTTTTCCTGTAAGATATTTTCTACAGGGTTGTATAGTTAATTTTTTGTGTTTAAAGTCTCTTGAAAGAATTTTATTGTGTGGTTATAACACCAACTGGGTACACACTTCTGGGTTAGGTTATTAGTTTTATTTTTTTATTTTTTAAATAAATTTATTTATTTTATTTACTTATTTTTGGCTGCGTTGGGTCTTTGTTGCTGCGTGCGGGCTTTCTCAAGTTGTGGCAAGCAGGGGCTACTCTTCGTTGCGGTGCGTGGCCTTCTTATTGCAGTGGCTTCTCTTGTTGAGGAGCATGGGCTCTAGGGCACACGGGCTTCAGTAGTTGCAGCATGCGGGCTCAGTAGTTGTGGCTCAGAGACTCTAGAACGCATGCTCAGTAGTTGTGGCATACAAGCTTAGTTGCTCCACGGCCTGTAGGATCTTCCAGGACCAGGGCTCGAACCCATGTCCCCCTGCATTGGCAGGGGGATTCTTAACCCCTGCACCACCAGGGAAGCCCTAGTTTTATTTTTGATTTTTTAAAAATTAAACTTTTGAAGTAATGTGGGTTTGCATGCATTTGTGAAATAATACAGAGATCCTGCATATCTTTTATTCAGTTTCTCCCAATGGTAACATCTTGCAAAACTGTAAATACAATATCACAGCCAGAATGTTGACGGTGGTATAGTCAAGCTACAAAACATTTCAGTCACAAAGATTCCTATGTTGCCTTTCCTAGCCGTACCTACCTTCCACCTCTTAGCCCTCCCATCCCTGACCTTTGGCAACCACTAAATCTATACTCCATTTCAGTAATTCTGTCATTTCAAGAATGTTACATAAATGGAACCACACAGTATGTGACCTTTTGGGATGGGCTTTTTTTTTTTTTTTTTTTTGCGGTACGCAGGACTCTCACTGTTGTGGCCTCTCCCGTTGCGGAGCACAAGCTCCGGACGCACAGGCTCAGCGGCCATGGCTCATGGGCCCAGCCGCTCCGCGGCATGTGGGATCTTCCCGGACCAGGGCAGGAACCCGTGTCCCCTGCATCGGCAGGCGGACTCTCAACCACTGCGCCACCAGGGAAGCCCTTGGGATTGGCTTTTTTTTTACTGAGCATAATTCCCTGGAAAGCCAGCTAATTTGTGGCATATAACAGTATCTCACTTTTTTCTATTTTTAAGTAGTGTTACGTGGTATATATGTACCAGAGTTTGTTTAACCACTCACCTACTAGAGGACATTTGGGTCATTTCCACTTTTTGGCTATTACAAATAAAGTTGCTCTGAACATTTGTATACAGGTTTTGGTGTAAACCTAAGTTTTGTTTTCTCTAGGATAAATGCCTAAGAGTGCAATTGCTTGGCCATATGGTAGTTAGTTGCATGTTCAGTTTTATAAGAAATTGTCAAATTATTTTGCAGAGTAGTATTATCATTTTTCATTCCTACCAGAAATGGATGAGTAATACATCAATCTTATTTTTAAGGATTGCTTTTTGCACTTTATTTTTATAATTATATGCTTGTTTAATTATGTTAAGAAGTAGTTACATCATTCTTAAGTCAAATATTTAAGATGAGGTACATTCAAATAAGTCTAACATTTACGACCCCCTATTCCTTCCACTTTGGAAGTAACAATTTTTTAAAAATTGATTATTCCTTCCATTGTTTGTTATATTAGAAACAGATATGCATATATATATATATATATATATATATATATATTTGTATTCCCCTCCTTACTTAGATAAGCAGTAGTATAGTAGAGTTTTTGCCACGTTAGTTTTTTGTCTTAAAAATATATCCTGAAGATCACTTCATAGTAGTAATATAGAGATTGACTCATTTCTTTCTGTAGCTTCAAGGTGCTCCATCTTTTTCATGTACTATAGTTTAGTCAGCCCTTTGAGTGGACATTTGAGTTGTTTCCAGTCTTGTGTAATTGCAAGTGGAAGTGGGATTGTTCAGTAAAAGGGTAAATGTATATATCACATTTTGTCAGATATTGCCAAATTCCCCTCCAGTAGCAACTGTCCAGTTTTGAATTCCCACAAGTCATGGATAAGCATGCCTATTTTCCCCAGCCTCACAGTAGATTTTTTTTCTTTTTTTTTTTTTGCGATATGTGGGCCTCTCACTGTCGTGGCCTTTCCTGTTGCCGGATGCGCAAGCTCAGCGCCCATGGCTCACGGGCCCAGCCGCTCCGCGGCATGTGGGATCCTCCCAGACTGGGGCACGAACCCGTATCCCCTGCATCGGCAGGCGGACTCTCAACCACTGCACCACCAGGGAAGCTCTGTTTGTAGATTTTTTGATGATGGCCCTTCTGAGTGGTGAGAGGTGATACCTCATTGTAGTTTTGATTTGCATTTCTCTAATAATTAGTGATGTTGAGCATCTTTTCATGTGCCTCTTGGCCATCTGTATGTCTTCTTTGCAGAGATGTCTATTTAGGTTGTCCGCCCATTTTTTGATTGGGTGGTTAGTTTTTTTTAAATTTTGTTAATATTAAGCTCCATGAGCTGTTTGTATATTTTGGAGATTAATCCCCTGTTGGTTGCTTTGTTTGCAGATATTTTCTCCCATTTCTGAGGGTTGTCTTTTCGGTTTGTTTATGGTTTCCTTCGCTGTGCAAAAGCTTTTAAGTTTCATTAGGTCCCATTTGTTTACTTCTGTTTTTATCTTCATTACTGTAGGAGGTGGGTCAAAAAAGGTCTTGCTGTGGTTTATGTCAAAGAGTGTTTTTCCTATGTTTTCCTCTGGAAGTTTTATAGTGTCCAGTCTTACATTTAGGTCTTTAATCCATTTTGAGTTTATTTTTGTGTATGGTGTTAGGGAGTGTTCTAATTTCATTCCTTTACATGTAGCTGTCCAGTTTTCTCAGCACCACTTATTGAAGAGGCTGTCTTGTCTCCATTATATATTCTTGCTTCCTTTGTCAAAGATAAGGTGACCATAGGTGCATGGGTTTATCTCCTGTTCCGTTGATCTATATGTCTGTTTTTGTGCTAGTACCATGCTGTTTTGATTACTGTAGCTTTGTAGTATAGTTTGAAGTCGGGGAGTCTAATTCCTCCAGCTCCATTTTTCTTTCTCAAGATTGCTTTGGCTATTCAGGGTCTTTTGTGTTTCCATACAAATTGTAAAATTTTTTGTTCTAATTTTGTGAAGAATGCCATTGGTAATTTGATAGGGATTGTATTGAATCTGTAGGTTGCTTTGGGTAGTATAGTCATTTTCACAATATTGATTCTTCCAATACAAGAACATGGATTGGATTTCTCCCATCTGTTTGTGTCATCTTTGATTTCTTTTATAAGTTCTTTATAGTTTTCTGAGTACAGGTCTTTTGCCTCCTTAGGTAGATTTACTCCTAGGTATTTTATTCTTTTCATTGCAGTAAATGGGATTGTTTCCTTAATTTCTCTTTCTGATCTTGCGTTGTTAGTGTATAGGAATGCAAGAGATTTCTGTGCATTAATTTTGTATCCTGCAGCTTTACCAGATTCATTGATGAGCTCTAGTAGTTTTCTGATGACGTCTTTAGGATTTTCTATGTATAGTATCATGTCATCTGCAGACAGTGACAGTTTTACTTCTTCTTTTCCAGTTTGGATTTCTTTTCATTTTCTTATCTGATTGCCGTGGCTAGGACTTCTAAAACTATGTTGAATAAGAGTGGTGAGAGTGGACATCCTTGTATGAGTGAGGTTTTTCTTTGATTTTGTTTCACTTTATAACAGTTACTAGCCTTTTTCCAGATAGTTGGTTTTTTTTTAACATATTAAAATCTTTTTTTTTTAATCATGGGGTAAATATCTGCTGATTTTCAGTAAAGCTTGCTTAAGAACTGACCATTAGGAAGGACAGTCACTTAAGTGATATCTGCTTATTGTTCTGTGATAACTAGAATTATCAGTGATGCTAGGATAGTTTTATGTCCTACTAGGTATTAAGGCAAGTCTTATTACTGAGTAGTAGGTATTTCAGTCTAAAGCTCTTATTCTCCCATCTCAGCTCCCATCTAAGAACTATATCTAGTTATTTGACATTTAGACTAGTAAGTTTAGACAGTGAAAACGCTTTGGGGGCGGAGAGCGGGGCAAGTAAACAGTTACTATGGATGATGTACTTCATGAGCGGAGGCTGGGGGAGGTTAATGAAATATTTTGCTTAATTGTTAAATGTTTAGTGTTTATTATTTCAAAATGGGAAATAATTTAGGCAAATAGTAATAATGCAATAATGACACTAACATTTCCCCCCAGACTTTTTGCTTTTTTCAGTTTGGGAAAAGTACTAGTTTCCAAAGTAAAAAATTATTTTCTTAACACAACAGAGTCACTTAACTGGCATCTACTGCTAATTATACTAGATCAAATCTAAACTGTAAGGCAAGTGATGTACATATATTTCATACTGTGCATTTTTCAATAAGAACATTAGAGAAATTATCAAGTTTATCACATTTAAAACAGATCTGCTTTATATCTAAATTTATGAAAGTTAATAAATAATCATGTTAATATTTTAATATAGGAGTTTGGATAAAGAGAGGGCGGTGCTACTACAACGCCGGAAAAGGGAAAATATGTCAGGTGGGTGAAAAGGATCTATACTAAATTAACTTAAGTATGATTGAGAGAATAAGTGGCCTGCATATTTTTTAGTCAGACGTAAACTGCTTGCTAATGAACGTTGATTGTATATATAATTTACAATCTCAAGTGTAGGTTTTAAATACTCCTTTTTACAGATTTTATAGAACAATAATGTATTTATTTTAGGAAATATGGAAAATAAATAAAAATCTAAAATCATCCATATTTTCTTGCACATAGGTAACCTGTTGGTTTAAAGATGTAATATATGTTTGCTCTTTTGAAAGATGGTGATCCATTAGTTGATCATGTGCAATAGTGTTTATTTCATTTTTAGGAACAGGATTTGAAGCTGTAACATGTGCTAAACTTTCACTTTGGCTTATAAAACATGTTTCCACCAATACAACTGGTTTTGAATAACCATAGGTTATTGAACTGTGTGATGGACATTTGGGGTGTTTCCAGTGTTTTTGTTATTATAGATAGTAACATCATGAAACCCTCTTGGATAAGGGTTTTTTTGTACTTTTCCCATTTTATCTGTGGATAGATCCCTAGAAGTGGGGTTGCTGGGTGAAGAGGGTAAGTGTATATAGAATTCTGCTAGATATAGCTAAATTCCCCTTCATAGAGAATTCTGAATTTCCACTGGCTATGTTTGTAAGTGTCTGTTTCCCACAGTCACACAACCTGAGTGTGTCGTCAGATTTTGTACCTTTCTAGTTTAACATATCAGAAATATATTTGCAGTTTGCATTTAAATGTGTCTTACTGAGTGAGGAAGTGAAAAAAAATGTTTATTCTTCAGAAAGGTGGGGGAATAATAGTTTGTCATGTGGAATGCTGTTTTATTGTTTGAAGTAGAAGTATTACTTGTGCAGTAATTTTTATTTTGCCATTGAAGATGGTGATACCAGTGCAACTGAGAGTGGTGATGAGGTTCCTGTGGAATTATATACTGCATTTCAGCATACCCCGACATCGATTACTTTAACTGCTTCAAGAGTTTCCAAGGTTAATGATAAAAGAAGGAAAAAAAGTGGGGAGAAAGAACAAAACATTTCAAAATGTAAAAAAGTAAGTTTTTCCTATTTTGAAGATGAGTAGATAGGAAGTGGTAGAAGTAATGGATAGTAGCTGGAGAAGGTAGCAGGATATAAGCTTAGTCAAACTCATTTAAAATTTTTAATGTGTTTTAAAGATTGAAATGGAGTAGAGAAAAATGTTTGCAAACTGCTTTAAATCATCACTCTGATGAGACTAGTCATAGAAATGCAAAAGCTAAAATAAGATTTAGTGAAGGTTGTTGTTTCAGAAAACAGAAATAACAGTTCTAAATTTTTAATAGCTTATAAAGAGTTAGAGGAGCATATAATGATTGTGAATGGTTTATAGCTGTTTGTCTCTGAATCATATTTAATCATTTTAATAAGGCTCCACATTTGTTGAATTTCTTACTGTCTAGATTTTTCTCACTTAAATTTTTGTATTAAAATATCACCAGGGGCTTCCCAGGTGGCGCAGTGGTTGAGAGTCCGCCTGCCGATGCAGCGGACGCGAGTTCGTGCCCCCGTCTGGGAGGATCCCACATGCCGCGGAGCGGCTGGGCCCGTGAGCCATGGCCGCTGAGCCTGCGCGTACGGAGCCTGTGCTCCGCAGCGGGAGGGGCCACAACAGTGAGAGGCCCGCATACCGCAAAAAAA